TGGGTGGGCATTGCCCACCCCCGCCCACTTCTAGATCCAGTTTAAGTATCTTGGGGTCTTGTTTATGAGTGAGGAAAGAAGGGAGTGGGAGATTGGTAGACAGATCGGTGCAGCGTTGGCAGTAATGCTGTACTATTCTGTCGAGGTGAAGAGGGAGCTGACCTGGAAGGCGAAGCTCTCGATTAACCAGTCAGTCAACGTTCCCGCCCTCACCTGTGGTCATGAGCTCTGGGTAGTGACCAAAAGAATGAGATCATGGACACAAGCAGCAGAAATGAGTTTCCTCCTTAGGGTGTCTGGGCTCAGGCTTAGCGACAGGGTGAAGAGCTCAGACATTCAGGAGGGGCTCAAAGTAGAACTGCTGCTCCTCCGCATTGTAAGGAGCCAGTTGAGGTGGTTCGGGTATCTATCTCAGATGCCTCCTGGACGGCTCCCTGGGGAGGTGTTTTGGGCATATCCAACTGGGAGGAGACCCCGGGGCAGACTCAGGACACACTGGAGATGTTAAATCTCTTGGCTGGCCTGGGAACGCCTTGGTATTCCCCCAGTGGAGCTGGAGGAGGTGGCTGGTGAGATGGAGGTCTGGGCATCCCTGCTTAGACTGCTGGCTCTGCGACCTGATCCCAGATAAGCAGCAGAGGATGGATGGATAGATGGGTGGATGGATGTCTATTACTGACAATAAAGTTGAATCTAATATACTGTAATCTAATCCAGTTTAAACTCAGTCTGTGTTGTATCTCTGTGTAGCAGTTTTCCTGGTTCATCCCTCTGTCACTGCGGTTTTTATGTTGTTCTGTAGCAAAAGACAAGCAGAGAGTTTAAATGGTGTTGATTTTAGCAGCAAATGCAGTTCAAGTATAGCTCAAGTTAAAAAAAAAAGAGGAAATAGTTCTTGTTGATCTGTCGAATGAGAGTGGAAATAAGCAGGCACCAAATCGAACACGTATATAAATAGTTCTGAGCGAGAAAGGGGCAAAATGGGTGGGGTGATTCATACATATTAGTTTTACAGTCCCTGAACAGACAGTGTGTCAGAAAGAAGAGCAGCAGAGATGGGACTTCAGTACGCTCTGAATTTCTGGATACAAACCGTTGTCTTTTTACCAGGTAAGAAAGGGAATAGCTCAGCATGTGATAGCACCCTTTGTTTAGATTAGGGACAGCGTGTGGCTCAGCCTGTGTGCCTGTAATCAGAAGGTCACCAGTTCAAACCCAGCCTCAGCACGTCTGCGGGTCCTTGAGAAAGGCCCTTAACCCCCAGCTCCCTGGGTGCTTCTACGGGTAGCTGCCCTTTATGGACAACTTACTCTACAAAAAAAGAGCAAGTTGAGGGAGGAATAAAGACAATTTCCTCACGGGAATCAATAAAGTATTGATTATTAAATTTGTTAAAGTTCTCCTCAGTGTAATTAAAATCTAATCCGTGTTATTCCAGTAGGATTAAGGGATTTAGCCTTAAAACGTTTATCTTTAAATGTGCATTTTTATAAGTTAAAAAAGGAAACTTTGCAACTTGCAGAAAATTCACATATGTTTGCGTCAGCATTGCCTTTAACCCTTTAAATGTAATGCTTACTTTTATGTAATGTTGCCTTTTTTGATATTTTTTCCAGGGGTCCTGGGTAGCGAATGGGGTGTAGAGTATTCAATAAATCCACTCTGTGCCATCAGAA